CCACCACCACCACCGCCACCTCCACCACCACCACCACCACCACCACCACCTGCCCCCATTCATTCATTTCTAATAATAAAGATCAATCTCATAAAAATTACAGACAATCCTCCTTTGCCTCTTGTTTTGTTGTTGTTTGTTATTTTTTGGACAAGATCTCTCTTAAAACTAATGGTAGCACCACCTCAGGACTGAGTGCTAGGATTACAGGCATGCACCACCTCCCAATTCCCAGTCTACATTTACTTTTTCTTTAACTTTTTTTTTTTCTTTTTGGAGCTGAGGACAGAACCCAGGGCCTTGGGCTTGCTAGGCAAGCGCTATACCACTGAGCTAAATCCCCAACCCCTTCTTTAACTTTTATTTTATGGGCATGGGTGTTTTTCCTGCATCTGTCTGTGCACCAAGACCCTAAGAAGCCAGAAGAAGATGCCAGGTCCCCTGGAACTGGAATTACAGACAGTTGTGAGCTGCCATGTGGGTGCTGGGAATCGAACCCAAGCTCCCTGGAAAAACAGCCAGTTCTCTCAGGCACTGAGCATCAGTCCTCTATATTCACTTTCCTCCCCCCTCTTTTTCTGGGACAACGTCTCACCACTTAGCCCTGGATGGCCCAAACTCCTTATGTAGACCAGGCTGGCCTCAAACTCACAGAGATCTGCCTGCCTCTGCCTTCTAAGTGCTTGGATTAAACATGTACACCACCATGCTCGGCTCATATTCTCTTTTAGTAATCAAGACCAGTCTCATAAAAATTATACACAATCCAGTAGAATTTTTCTTCACACAGGAAACAGCTTTTTCATTCCCACTTGAGGATACCTACAAAAGCTTCTATGAAATACCATGTTCTTGTGTTCATCCACCAACTACATGCCACACTAAACAAAGGTCCTTCTCTACATTTCCATCTTCTTCCTTGCATTTTTTGGGTTTCCGTTTCCTTTTATTGCTAAAGCTTTTCCTTCCTGTGAGAACATTTGCTCAACTGGGTGAAACGGTACATAACATTTAGGAGGTGGAACAAGAATCAAGATCAGCTACACAGCAGCATCAAGACCAGCCTGGCTTTGAGATCCTGTCTCAAAACCAACAAACAAAATACGGGGGTCAGGGGAGCACAGGGGAAGGTGGAATTCCAGAAGAGGCAGCCTGAAACAGAACCTTCCTTTCACGGTGACATCCTTCCTCTACAGGCTAAATCACGTTGGAGAAATGGGTAGCACACACAGAGAGCATGGCTAAAAGCAGCAGAAGTAATGCAGGACATTTACTTGTCACTAAGCAGGTGGGTCAGCGAGGACTCAGGCAGTGCTTTGGAGATCTCTGGTACATTAGGTATGTCCTGAGAGCTCCCAAGTTCCAGGGTCCACTCCTCTTGGACAGTGAGGCAAGACTGTGTGCCAGCCAGTTCCAGAGGACGCTGAGATGGGCCAGACGAACGCTCTGTCTCAAACAACATTGGTGTCTGCTGGGAAACAGGAAGACAATGGCTTCTGCGTGCGCCTAGGCCAGAACAAAGTTCCCTAAGTCTTCCAATGCTGATTTCCTCCTGGAGCCTGGTGAAGGCAGGGATCCCAACCACGATTCCGTCCCTCTAAATTCAGCCTCTTCCAAGAGATCTAGAGGACCCACACTGGCATGCCTGCTCCAGACTCCAGCCCGACCAGCTTTCTAATAGGAGAGAAGAAAGCACTCACTGAGGGGCCGGGAGCCACGAGGCGGTAGACTTGGTTTGGGTACAAGAATGGAAACCATCGAACTGAAGAGCCAAGGAAGATGAGGGAGACCTGGGAGGAAGGACGGATGGCACAGCACTGAACCCCCAGTGTGGAGCCTAGGGCATGTGAGGGCAGGCCCTAAGTACCTGGAGTCCCGGTTTACCTTTTGATCCTTGTTCTCAACTCCTAGAGACTCAGGTGGGCCCCATCCAGATCCCTCCTTCCTCTGTGTGCCACAAAGCCAAGTTCCTGACACATAGAAACTCAGGGTGGGCTTCGGGGGCCGTAATCTGGCTCCCGGAAGGACACAAAAGTTACGTTTCATGAGGGCCTCCTTGTGGGACAGCAAGAATAGACGGCTCTGTCCCACACGGGGTTCCTCTGGGCAGGAGGGGTCGGTCTGAGGTGACTCTGAATCAAAGGTGGGTCTGGGCACAGGCAGGATCAGAGCGTCAGGCAGGAAGAACTGGACATAGACTCTGTTGGAAGAGACAGACCTTTTGTGACGCAGGAACAGTGTCTGGACCCCAAATGCCCACGCACCAAGTGTTTCCTTCCCTTCAGACCCAGGAGGTCAGGCACCACTCCAGCACTGACCTGGCCTGCTTCTTCTGGATGAAGCCTGCCACGTCCAGCTCCTTCCAGGAAGGGAAGCTGCTCCTGACTTCTCTCTCTACCACCAGCCGGAACTTCTCCACCCGCACCAGGCAGCCTAGATGAAGGAAGTTCTCTATCTCAGCAAGAAAGGAACTGTGGGGAAAGCCGTGAGGCAGAGCACCCGGCAGGTCTGGTCCATCCCAGCCCTGAGCCAATGCCCTCTCCTGAGGTGGAGTCCACAGCGGATGTCTCAGCCCCACACACACAACTGCTCCCAGCAGAAACTACTCCACATGCATGAACAATCCTGCTCCTGGCTCCGTGGGCTGAGGCCTTTGTTACCCTTTCCCCAAATCTCTAACATGCCTTCTTCTCTAGGGCTTCGTCCCTTTTCTGTTTGTTTGTTTTTTGAGATAGTTTCTATTACATAGCTCTGGCTGTCCTGGAACTTGCTATGTAGATCAGGCTCACAGAGATCCACCTGCCTCTACTGGGATTAAAGGCATGTGCCACCATGCCAAGCTCCTCTTTATGAATCCTAACAAGTCAAATAAGAGTAGTGTTCTTCCAAATTATGAATGTAGGAAGCAGGAAGGTGCATGTTTAGGAGCCGTGGAGGAGAGATGGATGTCGGGAGTTGTAGCTCAGGCTCCTCTTCTCTCCATGAATCCCAGCCTCTCAAACTTCTCCACCTCAATAAATGCCTCCTCCTGGTTCCCTGGACCCCGAGAACTCTACAGCCCCCCCCCTTCCCATCTCTCAACTTCACACCTATAAGCTTTGGGTCAGTGAGGGGCTGCGAATTCTCAGTCAAGGGCATGCAGGGCAGTGAAGCTCTCAGGTCCCGAAGTTGCAGACAACCTGTATGAGATGAAGCCACCAGCACCCCAAGGAGAACCTGCAGGAAAAGAAAAACCAAGCTACTAGTTATTAAAGAAACACGCCGGGCGTTGGTGGCACTCGCCTTTAATCCCAGCACTCGGGAGGCAGAGCCAGGTGGATCTCTGTGAGTTCGAGGCCAGCCTGGGCTACCAAGTGAGTTCCAGGAAAAGGCACAAAGCTACACAGAGAAACCCTGTCTCGAAAAACCAAAAAAAAAAAAAAAAAAAGAAAAGAAAAGAAACAGAGAGGGCTGGATGTAAGCCCTGTACTTGGAAGGCAGAGGCAGAAGGACCATTCCAAATTTGAGGCTGTCTTAGTCCATACTATGAGTTCCAGGCCAGCATGGTCTACAGAGCGAGATCCAGGACAGGCACCAAAACTACACAGAGAAACTCTGTCTCGAAAAACAAAAACAAACAAACAAAACAAAAACAACAACAACAAAAAAAGACAAAAGCAAAGAACTAAAAACACCACCACCAACAACCAGTGAGCTGAACAGGAAGTGGCCATGAAGACGCAAAAAGTGGTCCCAAGCCACCCAGAGTCCCCTTACCTGGGCTGGCTGGAACACACAGGATGGCAGGCAGAACCAGGACCAGGCTAGGTGGCGATTCAGTTGGCAGCTGGTCAGGTGGGCAGCTTCTGAGAGAGGCAGAAGGGCCTTTGGATCAAAGGCAGCCCAAGCCCTGCGCTGCCCTTCCTCTGCCAGGTCGAGTAATGTAGGGAAGGAGCAGGGGGTCTGCACCTGAGTGTACTGTTGGGGAGAAGAAAGAGCCAGAGTGTGTCCCTGTCCTTGTCCCTGTCCCCTGTGCCGGGTGCCCAGCAGTAGCTGCTGCCAGTCTTTCCCCCACATTCTCATACTTTCTGATGGGGACAGTGATGTGGCTCTTCCAGGAGCTCACTGTGTGCATGCCGAACGGGGGTGCCACGTGGAATAAGAACATCCCAGGAGGGAGCCAGGAGCTGCAGTGCCAAGCTGGGGTTCCCAGGAGAGGAATGCCTCAGGAACTGGTGGTATCTCAACACATAGGGACACAGCCTTGACCAGGGAGAGAAGGACAGTCATTTCCCCAAGACCTGTCCCTTCCAGGACCCTGCTTCCCCTACAGAGACAGTCACCCTCCCACACACACCCCTCTCCACCCAAGATCTTCAATGTCCACCCTCCTCACTTGCAGGCCAGCTCCTCCAGCGCCTTGGTAGCCCATAAGTATAAGGGAAGTCCTAGCTGACGTTCCCACACGAGTTGCTCATACAAGGAGGCACCACGAACTTTGAAGGGTGGCAAACTTTCAGGCTTAAGAGGAGAAAAGCTCTGAAGAAGCAGGGTGCCATGGAGGCAGAGTGCTAGGACGGGTCTTGTTGTTCCTCCACCCACTGACTGGAGGAGATGAACATCTCGGAGCTGCAGGAAAACACAAGAGCAGAGGTAAACGGTTTATGGTATACACCCGGGAACCCCAGCACTTGGGGGCAGAGGTAGGAGGCAGGAAGACTGGAAGATTAAGGGCCATCTTCAGCTACACAGAAGCGACTGAGACCTTGGCAGTGGGGGTGAGCGTCTTTAATCCCAGCACTCAGGAGGCAGAGCCAGGCGGATCTCTGTGAGTTCAAGGCCAGCCTAGGCTACAGAGCAAGATCCAGGACAGGCTTCAAAGCTACACAGAGAAACCCTGTCTGGAAAAACAAAACAAGGAAAGCACAAGCCTGTAATTCCAGCACGCCAGAGCAGAGGCAAGTGGATCTCTGTTAAGCTCAGGCCAGCTTTTTTTTTTTTTTTTTAAAAAGATTTATTTATTTATAGTTCAGACCAGCTTTTAAAAAAAAAAAAAAAAAAGATTTATTTATTTATTTCTTACGGATACAGTGTTCTGTCTACACATATCCCTGCAGGCCAGAAGAGGGTACCAGATCTCATTATCGATGGTTGTGAGGTACCATGTGGTTGCTGGGAATTGAACTCAGGACCTTTGAACAAGCAGTGCTCTTAACCTCTGAGCCATCTCTCCAGCCCCAAGCCAGCTTGTTTTACAGAGTAAGTTTCAGACCAGCCAGGGCAACTTAGTGAGACCCTGACTCAAAACAAACAAACAAAGGAGACAAGAAACTCCCCCAGAGCTAGAGAGATGCTCACACTTAAAGAAAGCACCACTCTTGAAGAGCACCTAAGTTCAGTTCCCAGCACTCACTGCATGTGCGTGCGTGCGTGCGTGCGTGCGTCACAACCACCTAAACTTCCATTCCAGGGGACTTGATGACCTCTCCTGGCCTCTGTAAAACACTGTACATATTCATGTACAAATACTACCCCCACCTCCACACATACAAATACACACAATTAAAAACTAAATCTTTATAAACAAATAAATAAGCAAAAAAATAAACAAGAGCCGAGGTGAGACGTCAGCAACCTCATGCAGAGGTGGCAATTGTTTCCACACCCTGAGTTCCAGGCTCATGTCCCCCAGTGTTGCCTGTCTCACTTTCTATCAAACCTCCTTCTCTCTGAGGTCACCCATCCTCTCCCATGAACTGAGGGTCTCTCATGTCCAGGTTTGATATTTGACATACCTCCAGACGGACCCCTGGTCGAATCACCCGCCTGAGGCCACGGATATGCTGGTATGCCAGGCAGAGAATCAGCTCCCCATCTAGAATGTAGAGGCTGGCAGACTCATTCAACACATCAGTGACTGTCCCCTGCAGAGGACAGAGGTTCCGGCTGGCCACCGTTTCCTTCTTTGGCGGCTCACATTTCTTGGCCACAATCTCTAGGATCAGTTCCTTGCACTCACCAAATAATGTAAGATTTTGGAATTCCGGAAAAGACCTTCTTGCCTGCCGCTGTCTTTGGAGTTCGTGGGCTGGGGAAGTGGTATAAGGTCAGCTTCCAAGAACCTTATGTCCAGCTCCAGCTCTTGTACATAATCTGGTCTCAGCGGTACCAGATCCGAAGATGGAATGGTTGTCCAAATAGAGTAACGGCGACCTCGGGTCTTGGTTACTCGCAATTTTGTCAGTATATAGGCCCTACCAGGCCGAAGGACTCGGTGCCACACCATCTGGGCAGGAATCTGGCTTAGACAAAGTTAACATTGTACATGAGACACCACGCCCCCAATGCTGAGCTTCTGCCAAAGGCCCTTCCCATCAGTTTGACTGCAAAGACCTTGATTCTCCTCTTTCTTCTTCATGGTCTGCTTATTTGTTTGGTTGGGTTTTTGTTGTTGTTTTGTTTTGTTTCAGACAAGGTCTCACACAGCCCAGGCTGGGCTCAAGACCAGTGTTTAAAAAAAAAAAAAAAAAAAAAGAGTTTGAGACAGGGTTTCTCTGTGTAGCTTTGCATCTTTCCTGGAACTCACTCTGTAGCCCAGGCTGGCCTCAAACTTACAGAGATTCACCTGTCTCTGCCTCCCAAGTGCTGGGATTAAAGGTGTGTGCCACCACCACCTGGCTCAGTGTTGAACTCTTAATATTTTAAGCCGCTGAACTTTAAGGTAATAGGAAATGTCACACATTTCTTAATCCTTTTCATAAAGATAAGCTGGGCTGTAGTGGTGCACACCTTTAATTCCAGCACTTGGGGAGGCAGAGGCAGGTGGATCTCTGTGAGTTCGAGGCCAACCTGGTCTCCAAAGCGAGTTCCAGGAAAGGTGCAAAGCTACACAGAGAAATCCTGTCTCAAAAAACAAAAACAAAAACAAAAACAAAAACAAACAAACAAACAAACAAACAAGATATAAACCATCCCTAAAATTTCCTTCAAAATTGATAAATATTCCATCAAGAAAATTATGTTCTTTTCAATATATCCTCTCATCCCAGAGCATACAAGCCAAATTTCATTAATATGAGCTGAGTACATACAACTCCAGTATTGAGAGAGATGTTAAATAACAAATTATTCATTCCTCTTTAACATGTTTTAAATCACTGGGAAGACAAAAATCTAAATAATAATACAGAGCAAAATAAAACATGTATCAAAAAAATACACATTTAATAAAATCTTCCTTTTAATTTTTTCTTTTATCATACTGGGAAATCAAACCCAGAACTTCGTGCATGCTAGGCAGGCACTCTACCATTGAGCTACAAGTCCAGCCCTCACAAGGTTGGGAAGAAAAAGTGAGGATGAGGTAGAAAGACCAAGAAGGCTAGTGAATGAAGGTGGAGTTGAAGAAAGCCCAGAGAGGTATACTGGCTGATCTCACATTCTCTTTTTCAGACTTTTAAAACTTATCAACTTCTGCCCATGGAGGCTAGAGGCATCAGCTTCTCCTGGGGCTGGAGTTACAGGCACTTGTGATGCACCCAAATGCAGGTGCTATAAACAGAACTCAGATCTTCTTCAAGAGGAATGCGTATTCTTAACCGCTGAACCATTTCTCAGCCCTAAGGTTGCTCTCTCTTATCTAAAATACAACCAGAAATATCCAAGGTTTTGGAGATTCTAGAGTACCTGTATCTATATTATAAGATGTCTTGTAGATGGAACCCGATTCTAAACATGGAATCCATTTGTGTTTCCTATGCATCTTATCTATACAGCATGGGGGCAGTAGTCTATAGAATACGTTTATATGCCTGTGTTTGAACTTGAGTCTATTACATACGCTCAGGTGGTGTCATGTTTTCATTCAGTTTCAGATATTTGAGCATTTAAGATTTCAGATAGGGATGCTCAATCCTGAACCTAAATTCAAGGCACCCACCTGAGCCACAAGATGAGCTCAAGGCCAGACTGTGTAACCTGGACTCTGTCTCACAATCTTCACAATAAATAAATACAAAGAGCACAGCTGGGACCACAGCTCAGTGGCAGAACATCTGCCTCGTGAGCACAAAGCCCGGGATTCCAAAGCTTGTCCATCCTTTAAAAGCTCCAACTCAAGTTTAGCTACCTCACGGTAGTTAACTCTCGGTGTTCTGTGGCAGTACCTAAAGACTACACCATCCACTATTTGCAATACTGCGTTACAGTGCTGTGTTGCCTGGTGTGTTGTGTTTTTAATACTACAATAGTTAGAACACTCGGACAATTAGAAAACTCCTAATGACAGGCAAGGTCAGGTCGTTTGTATGCTACTGTGTCCAGGGAGACATTTCTTCAGACTACAAAGCAGGGTGAGCGCGTTAGGGAGAGTCCAGTCCTACCGTAGGTCCTAGATTCCGTTTGTTTGTTTGAATAAGTTGTTGCTGCTTGTTTTGGTTTTGAGACAGGGCCACCCTCTGTAGCCCAGGCTGGCCTCAAATTCATGACAATATTCCTATAGATGTACTGAACTTATAGGTATGAGCAACCAGACCTGGCTTCTAAGCACATTATGGTTTCAAACTTGCTATGTAGCCGAAGATGGCCTTGATTTTTGTTTTGTTTTGTTTTTCTAGACATGGTTTCTCTGTGTAGCTTTGGTGCCTATCCTGAATTTCACTCTGTAGACCAGGCTGGCCTTGAACTCACAGGGATCAAAGGCATGCACCACCACTGCCCAGCCCGGATTTTTTTTTTTTTTTAAGATTTATTTATCACGGGTTGGGCATTTAGTTCAGTGGTAGAACGCTTACCTAATAAGCACAAGGCCCTGGGTTCAGTCCTCAGCTCTGGAAAAAAAAAAGAAAAAAGAAAAAAAAAAAAAAAAGATTTATTTATCACATAAAAAGTTCTGCATGCAGGAATACCTGGATGCCAGAAGGAGGCACCAGATCTCATTGATGGTTGTGAACCACCATGTGGTTGCTGGGAGTTGAACTAAGGACCTCTGGAATAGCAGGCAGTGATCTTGACCAGAGCTATCTCTCCAGGCTTTGAACTCCCATGAACTATCCCATGGCCAGGAACTCCTAATCCTCCCATACTTCATCAGGCCTGACTTTTACTTTTTTGTGGTTTCCTAGATGGGGTTTCTCTGTGTAACAGGCCTGGCTGTCTTGGAATTCACTTTGCAGACCAGGCTGGCCTCGAACTCACAGAGATCCACCAGCCTCTGCCTCCCTAGTGCTGGGATTAAAGGCATGTGCCACCACGGCCCTCCACTTACACTTTGTATATATGTGTGCACACAAGCAGGAACTGCTTTTATCCTTCTACCATGTGAGCTCTTGGGTCAAACTCAAGTCTTCGGGCTTGGCAACAAGCGTCTTTTCCCAATGAGTCATGTCACCCATCCCTTTGCGCATCCTCAGGAACCAGTCCTCTGCAATGCTGAGACTATTTATTATTTTAGTAAGCACATAAAATATGGCTGTGACATTCTCACACGTCTATCAGTCCGTAGCTCCTACTCTTCATCTCATGAGCCTCCTAGAATCTCCTCCCTCCTCCCCAGGCGCCCTTCCTCTCCAGATGGCCTTCCTTCTACTCCAACATCCTATGTCCTATTTCCTGACAGGGTGACAGGCCTGTCAGAACCCTAGCACTCGGGAGATGAAACCAGGAAGACCAAGAGTTCAAAGCTACACCAGACCCAGTCTCCACAAATCTAGGTTCCACATATGAGAGACAACATGTAATACCTGTCTTTGTGTATGTATGTGGGCATGTGCACAGGGACATGTATGCTCATCTGTACAAGTGCACATGGAGGCCAGAGGTTGGGGTTGGAATGTCTTCTTCAATCACTTCTCTATCAGTTTTTTTTTTTTAAAGATTTGCTAATTTATTTACATGATTGAGTGTTTTGCTTGCATTATGTGCACCACACACCTGTGGAGTTCAGAAGAGAGCAATGGATTCCCTGGAACTGGACTTAGAGATGGTTGTCAGCCACCAAGTGGGTGCTGGGAACCGAACCCAGGTCCTCTGCAAGAGCAACCAGTGCTCTTAACTGCTGAGCCTTCTTTATAGCCCTTCTATCTTATTTTTTGAGACAGAATTGCTTTCTCTGAACCTCAGAGAACAGGAACTTGCTAGACTGGCACCCAGTGAGCTTCTGGCTTGTCTGTCTCCACTCCACAGCACTGGGGCTAAGGGGGCATGCTGCCCCATCCAGCTCTTACGTGGGTGCTGGGATCTGAACTAAGGTCCTCATGCTTTTTCCCACTAAGCAGTCTCTCTAGCCTCTTTCTTTAGTTTTTCAAGACAAGGTTTCTCTGTGTAGCTGGCTGTCCTGGAACTCACTCTGTAGCCCAGGCTGGCCTCGAACTCAGCCTGTGCCTCCTGAGTGCTAGGATTAAAGTCATGTACCACCACCACCTGGCCTGTCATTCTTTTTAAGAATTTATTGATTTCAATTTTGTGTGTATGGGTGTTTTGCACGCATGCACGTCTGTGTACTATTTGCACGCAGTGCTCAAACTGGATCCTTTGGAACTGGAATTATAAACCACTGTGAGGTGTCATGTGGGTCCTGGGAACTAGACTTAGGTCCTCTGGGAACCAGACTTGCCGAGCCATCTCTCTAGCCCCTCTGCTTTTCCTTTTAAACAAGGATCTCTATGTAGCCTTGGATGACCTGGAACTTGCTATGTAGATCAGGCTGTGCTTGAACTCAGTGATCTGCCTATCTCTGCCTCCCAAATGTAAGGATTAAAAGCATGAGCCCCCAAACCCAGCACCTATCTGTCTTCTGTGTGTGCAGGTGACATGTGGGCAAATGCACCTGTGCCCGTTCATGTGGATGTAAAAACAATCTCCGGGGTCATTTCTCAGAAAGTCTTCCACCCTTTGAGGCAGACCTCTCGCTGACCTGGAAATTCCACAAGAAGGCCAGGCCAGCAGGTTCCAAGGCTCTGCCCACCTCTACTTCCCATTTCACTGTCACTGGATTACAGGCCATGCTACTGTGGCCAGCTTCTTACCTGAGGTCACACTCACGCTTGTAGGGAAGTCCCTTCCTCAGCCATCGCCTCAGCTGTCTGTTTTCTCTCCCATCACCCTTCTTTGCCTGCCTCTAGAGCCCTTCCTCCTTCCACAGCTCCTATTTAGTTTTACTAACGCAGATACTACACAGAGGAAATGTGACGCCTCTCCGTCTGCAGTCTTCTGCGTCGGGCTTACCCCCGCACTACGTGGCCCTCCCTATGCTGTCCTCCTGTTCTAACACCCCTTCCACTCCCACATGCCAGACCTGACCCCACTCCTCACCTGTACAATGACCGACACCTGGCTGCCGGCTTGGCTCTCAGCGTGGGATAATTCACCAAGTGTCAGGACGAAGTACCTTTTGTTCTGAGTTATCACCAGGGCACTCAGACGGACCAGTTTCCCAGCCAGATTTGGCTCCTTTACTTTGTGCTTCTTTCTAAGGAAAGAAGAAGGAAAAAGACGTTTTCATTTCTCCCCTTTGCCTCTATCCCAGTCTTCCCGTCTACTGTAAAGAACAATCTTGTAGCAATGTAAAATGTCCACAATTCAAAGCTATTATCTAAAACCTTTCCAACCTTCTTGCCCTCCGACAAGGTATATTTCCTCGGGAGTCAGAGGTGGCTCTGCTGGGAAAAGTGCTTGCTGCCAAGGATGAGGTCTGGATTTGGATCCCTGGGAACAACATGGTGGAAGGAGAACCATCTCCCACAAACTGTTCTCTGACCTCTGTGTAACTGTGTGTTATAATAATGGGAGGTTCATATGCACGCACGCACGCACTTGGGGGTCAGGGAGCTAGCACTTGTCTGACTTCTAAGCACAAGTTCTATTCCTAGAACCTAAAAAATAAGCGTTTTAGCCTAATCTCTGTGGTGGGAGATGAAGACAGGTAGGTTTAAATGGCCAGCCAGCCTAACTTATCTCCAAAACTAAGAAGGCTGACAGCGTCTGAGGAATGGCACCTGAGTTGTCCTCTGACCAGCACGTGCATGTGTGCACACACGTACACAAAAAGAACTTCTTGGGTTTCTTTTCGTGCATGTGTGTACACGCATACACAAAAAGAACTTCATGGGTTTCTTTTCTTTTGAAAAAAAAATTATCTTATTTCATGTGTATGAATGTTTTCCCTGAATGTATGTCTGTGTACCACGTGCATGCCTGGTGCACAGGAAGGCCAAATGAGGGTGCTGGATCCCCTGGAACTGGAAATACAGATGGTTGTGAACCATGAGGGTGCCAGGAATCAAACCCAGGTCCTCTGAAAGAGCAGAGAGTGCTCTTAACCACTGGGCCATCTCTACAGCCTATTTTTTCCCCATCTTTTGATAAGGAAACTCACACTGTAGCCCAGACTGACCTGGAACTCACTACGTAGGCTACACAGCCTTCCTGCTTCAGTGTCGAGTGCTGGGGTTATGGAGGTGAGCCACAACCAGTTCAGAGCCTTCCTCAGGACTCCTGATATTCAACCCCACCATTCCCTTGTTCCACCTATCATCTATGTCACTGTCAAATGTCTTTTTCCACACAAGTACCGTCATCCTCCGGGTGTCACAGGGTCCTTTCTTCCTTCAGAATGGAAATTACCTGTATCTGAGCAGGCAGGACGCCTTTTCTGGGTAGAGGACAGGGATTGGCGTGAGAGGGTCAGGACGGACAGCCAAAGGAAACACTGGCACGGGGGTACCCCACAGCTCCAAGTGCCCTTCCCCCAAGGAATTCTTCTTGGCAGGAGGGAGGTAACTCCAACTGGGGAACAGGAAGAGATGGCCCAACCAAGAAAGGTCTAGATCTGTAAGCTAGAAGAGATCAAAGCCACAGGTTAGCAGGCCCTTAGCAGCTGATCTACGAGCACTCCTGCTCGTACTGGAGGCAGCGGCCCTTCTTCCACTCACCTCACAGCCCACGCTTCCAGTGTTGTCTCTCACATACAGGCTTCCACTCCTGCACTCCTGTTCCAAATCCTCAGACAGGTTTATTAGCGTCCCCAGAAGTAACAGCGGCTCCCGGGGCAGGAGACTGGCCCCTGGCCCAGCTCCCTGGGACCAAGCCTGGTGAGCATGGCCGCTCCGGGACAAGTGGCTGCAGCATGGCAGGCGCTGGTGGGTCTGGAGGTTCTGCACCGAGACAAAACTGGAAGGGAAAGAGGGCAGTCCTGCACACCGGTTCCGTCTAAAGAACGCTCAGCCTGCACACACACACCCGCGAGTCCAAGTGTAGGGCTGAAGGAGAGCAGGCAGTTCTGCACACCGGTTCCGTCTAAAGAACGCTCAGCCTGCACACACACACCCGCGAGTCCAAGTGTAGGGCTGAAGGAGAGCAGGGAGTAGGGCTCGTCTGACTAAAGAGCCTATGAAATTAAGGGCGAGGGTTAGATCTAAAGGTTGGGCAGTGCCTCTGAGGGAACCGGGAAGAGAGCCCATGATAAATGGCTCCACAACAAGGGATCAAGAGACATGAAGTAGACTGCAGAGCAGTCTGAGGAAGTAAGCGTGCATGGAGAATTCCACTGAAGATTCCACACAGGAGCTGGAGCAACGGCTCAGCAGTTAAGAGCACTGTCTACAGGCATGTTGCTGCTGCTGGCGGTGCACACCTTTGATCCCAGCACTCAGCAGGCAGAGACAGGTGCATCTTTTGAGTTCCAGGCTAGCCTGGTCTGCAGAGTGAGTTCCAGGAGAGCCAGGACCACACAGAGAAACCCAAACCCTGTCTCAAAACAAACCAAACAAACCAACAAAAAAGCACTGTTTGCTCTTCCGGAAGACCTAGATTCCATTCCCAGCATCCACATAGTGGTTCACAACTGTGTGTAACTCCAGTCCCAGGGCATCTGATGCCCTCTTCTGGCCTCCATGGTCACCAGGCACACATGTGGTGCACAGACCTACATGCAGGTAAAACACCACACACTTTAACTTAAAAAGGAAAAGAATTTAAAAAGATATAGAGGTATGCTATTATATGAATAAACTGGTAGAGTCTACTGAAAACAATATGCAAATAGATACTGAGATTGCATGGATCAGCATCTCCCTTCAGGTTGGTGATTACTTTTGAAGAGATAAGGGAGAATCAGATCAAAACAGACTTATCAGGAGACCTCATTAAACTTTTTTCTTTACATCTTACAAGAAAGAGCGAAGCAAATATGACAAGAAGCTAAGAATTTTTTAAGGTAGGCAGTAAGTCCATGGCCATACAGGACACTGTTGCACACTTCACATCAGCTGAATCACTTTCTTCGTCCACTCTCCTTCTCTACAGACGTAGCTTAAGCCACGTTAGGAGAACTTCAGGGAAAAAAGCTGAATGGAGAATAGGAAAATCCTGCAGATGAGGGTGTTGGGACTGCCTTCCTTTCCACACATTCTTATATCCTTCTCAACATCAATTCAACTACTCACCAAGCCCACCTCACCCTACCTGTAGTTCAGGGGCAGTGTAAAATCCTGGTTCTCCCTCTGGGACAGCCACGTCTCCTTCACACAATCGATTACTGACTGAGTCAACTGTATATTAGGCTCCTTGCCAGCTGGGGAAAGGGTGGCTTGAATGAAGGTCTGGGCAGCCTCAAGCCAGGCTTGCTCCTGAGGAAAGTGAATCTAGTTAAAACTGGGTCTCCATGACCATCCTGCCCAACAGTGGATTTTTGGGAAATGAAGAATTACAATAAAATAAATCGCCAGGTGATGGCAGCATACACCTTTAATCCATCACTTGGGTGGCAGAGACAGGAAGATCTCTGTGAGTTTGAGGTTGGCCTGGTCTACAGAGTAAGATCCAGGACAGTCAGGGCTACACAGAGAAACTCTGTCTCAAAAAACAAACAAACAAACAAACAAACAAATTCAGATTATCAAAGGTTGAATGTTTTGAACCTGAAGAAGTTTTAAAAGTTAGTCCGCCGGGCGGTGGTGGCGCATGTCTTTAATCCCAGCACTCAGGAGGCAGAGCCAGGCGAATCTCTGTGAGTTCGAGGCCAGCCTGGTGGTCTACAGAGTGAGTTCCAGGAAAGGCTCCAAAGCTACAAAGAGAAAGCCTGTCTCGAAAAACCAAAAAAAAAAAAAAAAAGTTAGTCCAAAACTGAAGGTAGAATTACCTGGAAAAGATAGAATTACCTGGAAAAGATAGAATTACCTGGAAAAGATAGAATTACCTGGAAAAGATAGAATTACCTGGAAAAGAGCACTTGCTGTAGGAAGTGCAGCCAGAGACAAACAGGTGGCCACGTAGCTTGACTTTTGTCTCCTCTAACAAACGTGTACTTATCCTTAAAATGCTCACTTGAAATACAGATTCCTGGGGGCTGGAGAGATGGCTCAGCGGTTAAATCTCCCAAAGGACCCAGGTTCAATTCCCAGCACCCACGTGGCAGCTCACAACTGTCTGTAACTCCAGATCCAGATCTGATGCCTTCTGCTGGCCTCCGTGGACACTGTAGGCACATGGTACACAGACATATATGCAGATAAAATGCCCATATGAATTTTTAAAGAAGGAAGGAAGGAAGGAAGGAAGGAAGGAAGGAAGGAAGGGAGGGAGGGAGGGAGGGAGGAAGGAAGGGAGGAAGGGGAGATCTCTCTGTGGCCCTTTCTCTGGCCATCCCAGGTCAACTGCCACTCTGACCATGGAGCTTCCATATACCTTGTACACATGACTATTACACAGCACTGGCCCCATGGTTAGGGTTATTCCATCTTACATGGAGTCAGTAAGCTGAAAAGTAAAAATGACAAGAATTGCTTTCAAAAGTCCACACCTTTAATCCCAGCACTAGGGAGGCAGAGGTAGGCAGATCTCTGTGTTCAAAGATAGCCTTGTCTGCAGAGTGATTTCCAGGACAGCCAAGGTACACAAAGAAAACTTTTGGTTTGATTTTTTTGGTTTGGATTTGTGTCTTTATATTTTTCCAAGACAGAGAGAATATGAAGTTGAGTGGGTAGGATCTAGGCAGAGCTGACAGAGAAAAAAGAAAAGATCAAAATATATTACATGAAAAAAAAATTTAAGTCTATAAAAAAATCACATCACTGCTCTTAATATGTGAATATGTCTAATAGAAGACAAGGACATAGGCAAAGGCTAATTTATTTACTTACATTAAAAATGTTCATTTTATATGTATGGATGTTTTGCCTGCATGAATGCCTGGTGTCCATCCCATCTCCTGGAACTGGGGTTAAGGATGGGTGTGAACCAAATGGGTGCCAGGAACTGAAGCTGTATCCTGCAGCCTCTGGAAGAATAGCCAGTACTCTTAACTGCTGAGCCATCTCTCCAGCCTCTATTGTTTTTTTGTTGTTTTGTTTTGTTTTGTTTGAGACAAGGTCTTGCTATGTAATCCTGATTGGCCTATAACCCAATATATAGACCAAATTGGCCTTGAACTCACAAAAATTCACCTGCCTCTGCCTCCTATATGTTGGAACTACAGGCACGTACCATCATGCCTGTATTAGGACTCTGTGTGTGTGTGTATGGGTATTGATTTTTTTGTTTGTTTTTGGAGACAGGGTTTCTCTGTGTAGCCCTGGCTGTCCTGGAACTCGTTCTGTAGACCAGGCTTGCCTCAAACTCAGAGATCCGCCTAGCTCTGACTCCAAGTGCTGGGATTAAAAGCATGTACCACTCCAGAAGTGTATAGTTTTATAGTGTATAGTGTATAACCTTCTCCAAAAGGTTATAGTTTTTAATTATTCCATTTTTTTAATCAAACATCAGCACTTGAGTCGCTGTAAACTAAACATATACAAGCTCTAACCCCACTCGATTTGATCCGTTTTGTCTGCCCAGCTAGTTCTAACCATCATGGCTCTATCTCTGGCCCTCCAAAGGCCTCTCTATTAACCTCTGGGTAGTATTCCACATCAGCCCTTCTACAGCACCCTGGAAAACCACTTTCAACACTCTAAATTATTTCAATGCTCAGCATTCGTGTGGACAGTCCTCCTGTTCTCACTACGGCAAACATTCTCTTTGCCTTCATCCTCAGAGTGTTAGACAGTGGACCAATCCATTATCCAGATACACTTGATCAACATAACCAAAGCCTGGAAGTACACTGTTTTCTTTCAGGGTTTGTTTGTTTGTTTGTTTTTCTGTTGTGGCTACTTCTGATGTCCCATCCATTGTGTGACATGCTGAAAAACTTTGTTTCTCAAAGTAGTAACACTGTCTCAAAGTGAAATCAAGTTTGGTTTTATTTATTATTTGTTTGTTTGGTTTCTCTGTGTAGCCCTTACAGTCCTGGAACTCCCTCAGTAGACCAGGCTGGCCTCAAACTGACCGAGATCCACCTGCCTCTGCCGGGATCAAAAGTGTACCGCCACCACCGCCGCCTGGGGTCAGTGTGGTGACACTCCCCTTTAATCCCAGCATTCGGGATATAGAGGCAGGTGGATCTTTGTGAGTTCAAGGCCAGCCAGGCTATGGAGTGAGTTTCAGGGTAGCCAGGGCTAAGTAGAGAGACACTGCCCCCCACCCCCTTCAAATAAAGGCCAGGGGTATGATTTCTGGACCTTGATCTCCAAGGACAGGACTCTAATGGTAATGAGGAGGTAGTCCTAACTCCTGCAGAACTAACTGAAAGGCTGGGACAGACCTTTTGAAGAAGCTCATTTAAGAACAAAATAATAATACATGGGCCAGTGAGATGGCTTAGCAGTAAAGATACTTGGAGTGCAAACCTCATTACCAGAGTTCGATCTCTGAAACCGGCATAAAACTGAAATAGAAACAACTCCACAAAACTGTCCTCTGAACTCTGTCAGCTGTGGTACATATGCCCTACACACACACACACACACACACACACACTGCTGGGAATGTGGTTCGGTGGTTAAACAGCAAGAACGAGGTCCCATGGGCTTGGTTCGGGGTGGTGTAACAAACACAAGGCCAAGTGTAAGGTGTAGTGGCGCTGTGATGCAGAGGGCCCTGGAGGCTGAGGCTTGTCCTGGCTACCCTAGTGAATTACACAGCAAGCCCTGGGGGTCACGTGATGTTAACATGACACTGTCTTAAAACACCCACCAACTGAAGGGACACTAGCCCACCCGAGCAGGTGGCTCTGGCAGGCCATGCCCTTCTCCCCCATCCCCTCTGCCTTGCTAATAACCGTTAGGTGACATTCCTAAAGCGGGCCACCGAGATCTAGTCCCTTATTTGGCCACTTCCTCCTCCTGAGGCAGATGACCAAGGTCCAGCTATTAAAGTATTGAAGTCCAGCAATCAGAAGCCCCTTTGGCTCACCTAATTAACATATTCAATTAAAATTAAACACCTTATCCTAACTTGGGGTTTCCCATTTTACCTTTATAAGCCTCCATTTGCCTATGGGCCACACCTGTCTCCTCTCTATCCAGAGGCGGTCCGTTGTCCCTCTAGGACAAACACCCCTGTCCCTTTTCCCTTGTCCCCTATCTCCTTTACCACCGCATCCTAGCCCATTCTAACACAGACCGCCCCTTCTTCTTCACTTAAAAAAATTACACCTGCAAGGTCATTGGCTGCTGTTTTTCAGCCTCAGGTCAGAAAGCAGACACTTTAAAGTTTCTTCTCACTTCGTTCTGACCCCTCCACCTCCACCCAAGTGGGATTAAGTTTTTCAAAAGACATCTGCTCTAACTCGTGCTTATCAACACGGCTCTGCTGCCTAGTAACGATGCTCTTCCAATGCTGTCCCGCCTAGCTAACTCCTACACGAACCTCAGGAGTGGGATGTTTCTCCCTTCCCATCCAGGTACGTCAAGGGGCTCCTGGAGCCACACACCGCCCCACAACCTGCTGCCAGTCTCCCACAGACAGAGCGTAAACCTTCCGGAGCAGGTGGGCGGAGAAGTGTTCCGGGCTCAGACCGCGGCGGAACCACCGGCCTGAAAAGCCCCTGCTCCCCAGGCCCCGACCACAGACAGCAGGTGGAAGGAGCACAGGAAGAAAGGAAATCCGGAACAAGATGGAAAAACAAAACAAAAAACCCATGAGAATCACACAAACGGCACTCACGGAGGCAGACGCCTGCGCTCGGCAGGCAGGCATGATGCGCCCAAACCCCTACCCTGAAGAACGCGGGAACGCTGGCCGCAAGGGCTCACGGGAGGGAGCCTGTGACGTCACGGAGCAGCGCTGGCTCCGCCCCAGCAGCCACCTGTGGCCCGCCCCGCCCCTTTTGCCTGGACTTCGCTCTAAGGCGCACACTGACCTTGAATTTGTAGCGGTCCTTCCGCTTCTCCCCAACAGCAGGAATTACAGCTGTGCACCACCGACCTGGCCTACTGCTTCCCTTCTATAGTGAGGGCGCGTCAGGCTTCTCCTAGTGTTTCTTGAGAAGTGGGCCCGGAGAGCACAGGAGTGCACAATCCACTTGGCTCGCAACGTCTCGCAGTGTCCCTAATTTTACCAGGCAGAGAAAGTGCATCTTAAAAGTAGCCACAGGCTAGATAGGGTGGCACTCGCCTTTAATCCTAGCGCTCAGGAGGCAGAAGCAGGTGTATATCTGTGAGTTCGAGGCCAACCTGGTCTTCCGAGCGAGTTTCAGGATCGCTAAGTCTGTTACACAGAAAAACCCTGTCTCGCGGGGGGGGGGGGGCAAGAAAAAAAAAAGTAGCCACAGGCTCGGATGCAGAGGCAGGGGAATCTGCCCAGCCTGCTCTACATAGTTCCAAGCCAACCTGAACTATGAAGTTGGGAAGTGGGGGGGGGGGGAAGCAGACATGGGACACCCATTCACATAGGTGTTGTGGACTTAACTCACTGATGCTTTTTCCCTTACCTGTCAGCTCCAACTGGAGTCTTATTCTATTCTATTTATTTATTTATTTATTTATTTATTTATTTATTTAGGTGAGATGGCTCAGCCTTTAAAGGCTAGACTCACAATCAAAAATATTTATTTTTAAATGAATAAATTTAAAAAAAAACACAAAAAAAATATTTATTTTTAATTCCAATGCCTAGAACTGTGCTTGTTGCTAAAGGATTTGGTGAAAAATGTGTGGCTCAATTAATGAAAGCTTCTGCTTTTCCTAATTCAGTCAGCCAGGCAAGCCACAGCTCAGTCAGTACTGGTGAAGTAAACAGAATTCATCTATGTGCCAGGCACTGTTTTAGGCTATAGGTGTATACACTGAAGAAAACAAAAATCCCTGCCTTGTTCTAAGACAAGGAGATTCACAGGGAAAAACGGGCAAAATATATAGAATGTTAGTAACATGGAAAAGGGAAAAAAAAAAAGCAAAACCAGGGGATAGTCTGACTCTCCAGCTCTAGGGGACCCAAAGCCCTTGTCTGACCTCTAAGGGCACCTGCACATGAGTGGTACACATTCATGTATGCAGGCCAAACACTCAGAAAAAAGAAAGGAAGAAAATGAAAAACCAGGTGTGGTGGTGCCTATAAATCCAGCATTCAGAAGTCAGAGGCAGGAGGATCTTCATGTCATCATGAAGTTTAAAGCCAGCCTGGGCAATATGAAAACAACAAAGTATTAAGCATCAAATTACTGTGTCCCTTCATTCAACTTCACTTTTGATGCAAATCCAGTATCCAGTTAAAAACAAAATGGAGTTACTTAGGTTAATGGTTAGCATTGCCTTCAATAACAAGTTTTTAAGGTTTTTGTTGTTTTTAAGACAGGTCTTTGGTCAACATAACAAGTTCTCTTTCTTTCTTTCTTTTTTATTTTTTTAACTTTTTTTTTAAAGCTTTAATTATTTATTATGTATACAGCATGTATGCCTGCAGGCCAGAAGAGGGCGCCAGATCTCATTATAGATGGTTGTGAGCCACCATGTGGTTGCTGGGAATTGAACTCAGGACCTCTGGGAGAGCAGTCAGTGAACCTAACTTCTGAGCCATCTCTCCAGCCCTATTTATTTATTTATTTATTTATTTATTTATTTATTTAACTTTTTAAGACAGGGTTTCTGTGTAGTCCTGGTTGTCCTGGAACTCTCTCTGTAGACCAGGCTGGCCTCGAACTCACAGAGATCTGCTTGCCTGTACCTCCGTGCACCATCACTACCTGGCAATTCTTTATAAGATAAATCTTTGGAGACAGTGTGGTGGTACCTGCCTGTAGTTGCAGCTACTTAGGGGGCTGATGCAGAAGCATGAGCCCAGTAGTTCAAGGACAGCTTGGACAATGTAGTGAGAACTGACTCAGATAACAGCTGGGTGTGCTGGTGCATGGCTGTTATCAGTCCGTGGGAGGCAGAGACAGGAGGGTTGGAAGTTCAAGGTCAGCCTGGGTTACAAGGTACCCTGTGTCAAACAAAAACAAACAAAACACACAAAACATTAAAAATAAACTGAATGTTTCTTCCCATATTATATCAGAGATGTGTGGGTTTTTTTGTCTTTTCTCCAAAACAACAAGAAATCCCACCCCCAAAGCCTCTCCTGGTCCTCTGCAACTACCCTGACCTCCTTATTAGAACACCTATCAAACTCAATCATTCTTTTTGCTTTCAGCACATACACGCACACACTGTCTCTGGCAGAGCCCCTCCATTTATCCAGTCTGTGACAATGTGCCCTACAGCCTGGGATTCACCTTTGATGATTCATAGATAGAAAGGCTGGATTTGGCTACAACAATCACAGGAAGTAATATTGGCTTTTCTCCCACCATTCCATTAGCGTGACTTGAATTTGGGGTTGCTTTTATATGATGGGACAGGTCATAAGCAGCAAGGGTGAAAACAAAACTCCACGCTCCAGCTCCAGCAGCACGAGGGGTTCCTTTACCCTTTAGTGAGGTCCACTCAGATAAGACTGGGTCCTTCAATTTATCCCAGAAAAGAATCTCGGGGTAAACCAATAAAGAATCAGAGTTAGTATTTGTGTTTGTTTCCTAAGATTTTTTTCTTTTTCTTTTCTTCTTTCTTTCTTTCTTTCTTTTTTTTTTTTTTTAAGATTTTATTTTGGTACTGGAGAGAAGTCTGAACAGTTAAGAGTACGTAGCTCTTACAGAGGACTCATGTCAGTTCTCAGAACTCTAGTCCAGTGGCTCACAACTGCCTGTAACTCTTGCTCCAGGGCATCTGGCCTCTGAGGGTGTCTGCCTGCACACCAGTTCACAAGCTGGGGGGGTGGGGGTGGCTGTGGTAGAACAGCAAGCCCTCTTAACCACTGAGCCAGCCCTGGAATTTTAACAACCTTTCACCATCACTCACACTAGTCCTAGGTTTTATCACCACAAACATTTCATGACTTCCTCTGACCCTTTGCTAAACGCCAAACCTTTTGATTTTTGTCCTTATTGTTCCCTTTCCATGTTGGAAAAAACGACTCATTTCATCTTAGGACAAAACCTTTTTTCTTGTTTTTTAAGTTTTGTTTGTTTCTTGCTTTTGAGATAGGATTTCATGTAGCCCAGGTTTGCTAAAACTCAATATAGCCAAGAATGATCTTGAATTTCTCTGATCCTCCTGTCTCTACTTTCCAAGTATTAGGACTACAGGTGTGAATCACTGTACCCAGTCAACATTTTATCACACAAAAATCCTTCCTTATTCAAAAGACATATTCTCATATCCATATATGTTATATTATAAATGTATTCTCATATCCTTTATATGCATGTAGAGACAAAGTCTTCACAATCAGAAGACAGAGCAACGTAAATAAATTTACCAGCTTAATAAAAGAGAGGAAGCTAAATTACATTTACAAAGTCTGTAAGAAACTAAAATTATCTGTTTAAACATGGCCTAACAATAACATTTTTTTCTGTTGCAGGTCTTCGGCAGCCTTTATTGTTATTAGGGTCTTTTAAAGGACTCTTTTGTGTACTTCCTCCTAGGTTTCCCATGTGTCTCAGAATGTTGCATTCCAGCATGATCAAGGCGACACAAGTTCTAACATTAAATGACCTTGGAAAACCTACTTATCTTCTATAAACAAGAAGGCAGAAGGGAGAGAAAATACAAAGAGAACCAAACGGTTGTACATTTTAACTTTTTAAACATAGTTTTGGCTACAAGAGACCAATGTTCTCAGAAGGAGTGCAGGCAGGGACTAATAAATGGTTACTTTCTCCAAGATTACTGAAGAGGAGGAGGAGGACAGGAGAACAAGGGCAAGAGGAAGGCCAAGGGTTCAGGCCGAACAGGAAGAGGCAGAGTGTTGAGTTAGTGATGTTGGACTTATAACCCTCCTGGCAAAAGTGAAGATGCTCTATAAAGAGACAGGTGTACCTCTCACTGGTTATGAAATTGTTGAGACAATGGTCCACGAGGAGTGCGAATGTCCCCCAAGAATTCCATAACTTCTTAGACTACATTGCAGGAGAGACTAGTGCTGAGACGGTGATGGATAAGTGATGTGTGGGACACACCTTAATCAGAACCACTTGGTTATTCATACCTCCGTCCCTCTATTCAAATCTAAATTTTAGCCAGGCGGTAGATCTAGGCCAGCCTGGCCAGCCTGGTTTACAGAGCAAGTTCCAGGAGAGCCAGGGCTACTCAGAGAAACTCTGTCTCAAAAAAAAAAAAAAAAAAAAAAAAAAAAAAAAAAAAATGAAGAAGAAGAAGAAGAAGAAGAAGAAGAAGAAGAAGAAGAAGAAGAAGAAAAGAATTGCCAGGACCCAAGCTTTGACCCTAAAAAAAAATCCAGCAACAGGCTAGGCCAGCGAAATTTGTCTTTTTTATAACATTTATTTTCGCTTAGATGGGTTGTGACAGACAGATTCAATGGTAGCTGATGGTGTAGATCAGAGTCCCACAGAGGGGACATTTCTGCTGTGGGAATGTGTATGAGGGCCTGTTTGGGGTTGGGTTTTTGTTTTTGTTTTGGGGGGGTTAGGTTTTTCTGTGTATATATGCATTTTTATGCTTGCATGTGCTCCACAGTGCCTGTGAGGCGAGAAGAGGGCATCAGATCCCTAGGACCTGTGATGACAGATGGCTGTCAGCTGCCATCAGGGGCCTGGGAATCTCAATCTGTGGGTGGCAACCCCTTTGGGCTGAAGAGCTCTTTCACAGGGGTCGCCCAAGACCATCATAAAACAGATGTTCACATTATGATTCATAACAGTAGCAGAATTTCAGTTTGAAGGAGCAGTGAAATAATTGTATGGCTGGGGGTCACCACAACATGAGGAACTGTATTAAAGGGTCGCAGTCTTAGGAAAGTTGAGAACCAATTCCCAGTACTACAGAAATGTAAGAGAGAGGAAAAAAAGCAAAAAAAAAACAAAACAAAAAAACAAAACACCCTCTTGCTGTGTTCCCTGAATTCATTCATTAA